GAGGTTTTGTAGGAACACTCTAGGAGAGCAAATAAGACTTCTCAGGTGTTACATGCTTCAGGCTCTGCTGTACAAACCAGCACGGACGGAGGTTGGGGCAGATTCCCATGGTGATGAAACAAGGGACACTTGGGCTTTATCTTGCCTGGCTGAGGACCAGCGCTGCCACAACCGCCCTCTCCCACGAGGAATGAGCCAGGGAGGCTGCTGCAACAGTGACTCTGGGTGGAAGGAGAGGCGGGAGAAAAGAGCTGTGTGCCGCCAGGGAGTATTTATACATAGAGCAGCTACACTGCGAGGATCTGACCTCCTCCTGACGAACACCATGTACTTCAGACCTTCTTGTGAGTAAACGTTCTGTACACAGGCAGGCCTGTACGATTCAAGTAATATAATGCCTCTTGTGTCTTTCATTGTTATCGATAGTGTCCCGTCCAGGGTGTATCCTGCCTTGCTCCAGTCAGGTGGTCAGGAAAAGCTCCGGCTCCACCGCAGATTGAAAGGAACAGGATATCTGTTTAAATATCCGGTTATCTTTGGGATGGAAGACCGAGGCAGCGGCGTGCCCCTAACGATGGCAAGAGCCGGGGGGATGCCGTGGAGCTGCTGGGGAGCGAGGGGACGCAGCAGAGCCGGAGGAGCCAGGAGGGCAGGCAGCCTCAGACGCTGTTCATTCTCCTGATGCTGCGTGCTGGTAAGAGCCCAAACGCGCCTTTGCCTGCGAAATCACTTCATTACAGCAGCGCCTTTGGGCCTTCTGGGCCCTGATGACAGGATGATCGCTAATTGGCAGTAATTACCACTGGGGTGATTTGGCTGCCGGGGAGCAGTGATGTTTCGCTTCTACAATGTGGGGTAGGAGAAGCTGTTGTTACAGAGAAAGCAAGAGTTTCAAAAGGTGGTTTGGGGTTTTTTTTTTAAACATGAAAATGATAACACCTTCTTAAAAGCAGCACACTCAATGGAAAAAGGTATGTATGAATGTTGAATGGGAAGATCTATTTTTAGACTGAGTCCCCCATGGAGTACACTGCGTTCTGAGTGTGTTGACTCCCTGGAAGGCAACTTACCATGTCGGAAGAAAGGGACTTTCCTTATTGCACAATCAGCAGGTCATTACTTGCAAAAAAAGAAACCCACAAAATGCAGGTAGACCTGAAACTCCTGAACGTCAGATTTCACGCCTGAGCATTTCAAGTGTCTTCTCAAGTGCTACACATTTCTTTTCTGTCTTTGTTTTGCAACAAACATTCACTTTAAAACAGTAATCTAACCATTTGGATTTGGTTCTAATTATATTATGCAAATACATAGAGTAAATACAGTATCTAAATTGAAGAGCTGCATAATTCAGTTGTTCCAAACATTATATGAAGTACAGTACCATTGTGTACTTAGGAAATATGATGAATCTTTTAGGATTTATACAGTTTTCTTTTTAATTTTATGTAATAACTGAAAAATGGCCCAAAGCCAATTAATGCAGAAACAAAGACTGTAATTGACTACCCAAGTGGAGTCAAACACAGGGTGCTAGGGTCTCCGTGGATTTAGAATAAGGAGGAGAATTGTAGTTTATTTCTGTTCAGCGGACAACACAGTGAGCTATTATTTTAGGTTTTCATGGATAAGGGAACAAGTTAAAGATCCCATGCTGTACAGTACTTGCCTCTTGAAGATTCAACAGTGATCAACACTGTGCCCACAAACTAAATGTTTAGCGTGGAAATTAAAAAAAAATGCTTTAATTTTACACCTGCTTGAAGTGGAATTGCGGTCGCCTGACAATGGTTAGACCGTGGATTTGTCTTAGACACTGGTGTTAAATTATATGTATTGATAACCGTATTTGACACGATAATGACACGTGGTATTTACAAAGAACTGCCTTCTTGCTTTCTGGAGAGTAGCAACAAGAAAAAAGCTGAATATCATTTTAATGTCGTGATCTAAGAAACGATTCAACTAAATAGTACGGTTTTTTTTTTCATCCTTACTGTGTGATGACTGTAGACCCCTGTTTCTTTATTCAATACCGTTTAGATTCATGAGAAATCCGGGTGTTTGGATAACTTTGCCGAGGAATTCAGCATCATCTTCAATAAAATATCCTATTAATACAATACTTTGCACGTTATCTAAAATATTCGATATTATAGGGATACATGGACATGCAAACTCGGGCATCTAAGACACTCGTGCATCTTGGCTGGCTGGCGAGTTTTACAGATTATTTTAAGTTCTTATTCCTTTCACTTCGGACAAATCCCTCCCCAACGCCACCAAAGAAACTGGTTAACAAGTATTACGGTATGCTTTTCCCCTTTGAAAGCGGAGGTATTAACGCATCGATTAATTTCAAGATCTGTCGACTTCGAGCGACAGGCGCTCCCCTTTTAGAAAAATAGAAACCCGGGTCTGGCGGTGTAACAGACCGAGATCTTTCCGCAGTCCTTGCAGTCCCAGGATCGCTGCACATGTGCAATGTAATTACGCAGAATTAAGGCACATAAAGACTCGGAACGCCTTAATCTTCAAAACAAACAGCAGGTGATTAACTTAAGTGCCGGGCTGAAATCTTCCAGTTCTCAAGCATTCTGCCTAGCTGCGGGACGGTCTTTCAAAAACCGCTTTTTGTGTTGTCGGCTGTTCTTAACGCGCTCTTCTTAACGGCGGGGTGTCAGGTCAGCCCTGTATCCTTTCTGCGTTATCTGGCCATCTCCCGGGTGGTTTGGTAGCTCCTTCTCAACCCAAAAAGGCGAGACTTCAGACATAAGTGACGGGTTGGCGGACTTATTGCGAATTAATTGCCATATGGCCATCTGGAGTAATACAGCGAGCAGTAATTTATATTTCAGGGTTTGGAAGGTTCAAACTTGTGCAATGGCATTGAATGGTATTACCAGCTATTTAACATGAACTACCGGGCGCACAGACAGGGTGCACGACCCTAGACGGACAGAGGAATAAGTCTACAGCTGCAGACTGTACTGTATATCAGCGGTGCTCATACCCCGTCCTCAGGGGCCGCTGCTCCGCCTTGCGGATCTCTTTAAACCTCCATCTTCTCGGGAACAACTGGAGCCTTCGGATTATCCAATTAAACAATTAGTGAGATCAATTAGGTCATTAAAGGCTCCGGTGGGAGGATAGCGCTCGTATCCCTCCTGGACTGGAGTGTGACGTGTGTGGAGACAGCGCCTATCGGCCAACTTTTATTTCTGTGGCAATTCGCTGCCAGACTGTCGGTGCTCTTTTCCCTTGACGTTCGTCCATACTTTTCACCTGAAGGCGCTTATCTGTTATCTGCGATTCCTTATCTGTCTGTAGGTCATTAACATAAATTGTTCAGAAACAATCTGATATGGATAGGTCTATAGGTGTGAGACTGCTGCTGAGCAATGAGTCGGCACGATAAAATTCCACAACCATAAACATTTCCATTTTGTTTTATTCTCCTCGAGAAAATTGTGATATCAGTGACCTCTGCAATTATGTTAATACTTTAGCGATTCATATTTTTTAAATTACAGTAAAAAAAAGTCTAAAATAAAAAAAAACGGTTACTTCACCGTCCAACAGTGAACATATTTCCCCGATTCAGTCGTAAATATTTTACTGTAATTGACTTTGGTTCTAGGCAGCTACACATCTATCATAACTGACGGGCTGTTTTGAAGTGTTTACATTATTCTCTAAAATAAAAATAATTATCTCTAAGACAAGCAAATCCACTCTCTCGCGTCTTCACTAGTTTGAGCTTTACGTGGTTAACCGACGCTTTCTCGCTACATCTGCTGAAGAATGTTGGTATGACCTTGGCATTTATTTATAAATGACAGACGCTTGGTTTTACAGACACGTCTCCTACTGGATGGGACCCGCTTTTCTTACGCTTCTTAAACCAGGCTCATCGGGGCTAATGCCCCACTAGGTCAGTGTCGAGGAGTATTGAACCGGGTTAGAAATGAGACACGAGGCGCACAGGAGAGCCGCCTGTCCCACCGCAGATCATTTCCGACACTACGGATGGTAAAATATTCCTTCGACCTGTGCTATGTGCTTTGTTTTTCTATCTCAATACAGACAATAGAAAACGAACAATTAAATATATGAATGTCCAGACAGTGATGCACATCAAGGCAAGTTGGCCTTATTTCTTTTTTTTTACTACCATCTTTGTAAAAGTTCGTTCAGGTCACGCAGCGGTGAAAAACAAAACGCGTTTTTTTTTAAATTCACCCCCACGCGTTCAATTGAAGTGAAATAATCATCGATGAGGAAGGGCTTCTTCTGTCCGTTGGCAACTCGCGTTGTGGGGTGCAAAAGGCCCGTTGAAAGACTGGAAAATGAAGTTTGACGAAGTCACCACGTACGGTGTGTTTTATTTTTTCGTTTTAAAAGATCAGGATAAAACATCAACCCTCGTTACCCATACAGTTGCCTGTTTCGCGAACGCTTTTATGCGGCGCATTTGGTCTTTGTGGGAATATACCTGTATTTACACATAAAGTTTGGAAGGTGAGAAAATGAAAAGTTCTAATTACGGCGAGCGGGAGCTGCAATTACAGAGCAGGTGCTGTCGCGTCTTCCGTCCACCCGAGGAACGCGCTGGGTGGGGGTGCGCTTCTGGAAAAGGGCTGCAGAACTGTTCCTTTAATGCAGCCTCCTTCACGCATGAGGGGGTTGAGGTTTTTATCATCCGGCTCATTTTGGTTGAAAAAGAATGTTCCTTAAGTTTTCTTAACGTTCTCGGCTCGGCTCACCCCTGGGTGCATCTCCTATCCTGGTCCCGTCTAAATGAAGTTTTAAATACCGCCGCTTGCGATGTAACTAATTCGCCGAGATGCATAACAGCACAAAGGAAAGTCTGTTATTTAGTATTGCAGCTGAGAAACCCATTTCGCGGTTTAACAGCACCAGAGAGCCGGCGGGAAGAGCTCGGGATGGTTCCCCAAATCCTGCCGCCGCACGCGTGCGAGCTGGAATCACGGCGCGCACTTACCTGCCCCGCGTGCCCGTGGTGCCCACTCGCGCCGGGGCGTGTGAACAGGTGTGCTTCACTGTCGGAGCTCCCGGGGCTTCGCCGCACCTGTAACCGCGTCTGACCTCTACTGCGGCCCCCCACCCCCGTGTCACGGGTGGGTCTCCACTCCCTCCTCCTGCAGACCGCTTAGGCACGTTTCGTGCACGTTTCGTGCGCCTTGTGCATTGCTTCGAGAGAGCGCGAACGAGTCCGGTGCAGCTGACCGAGAGGCCGGCTCTGCACGGCTGCGCTGCACCGACGGGACGCTGGTCTTTTCCAGATGGCTCGGAAAGCAAATTGTAAGACACGTCGGCCTCCTTTGCAGAGCGTCTTGAGAAGAAGTCGTGTTTTGCCTTCGCTTCTCTTTGCTTCTCGGATCAAAGCTCTGAAAGTTCAAAACTGTCTGTGCCCCCTGCTTGAACCTAAACAATGTTTCAATGATCCGAAAACAAGAAAGGATCAAGTCTAAGGGGGGAAAAAAGGGGGAAACCGGGCGAGAAAGGGGGAAAATTTCGCGTGCAGCCTATAAGGATTTGCTGTGGGAGGGGTTTTACCTGCGTCGATTTAAGTTCCTGAACAAAATTACAGAGGGAAGTCGGCAGGTAGAGCGCTTGCAGGGCTGGCGGGTTAAGCTGGTTCGGGGCGTGTTGCTTTCAGTTTGTTCGCGACAAAATAAAAACAGCCTAACTGGGAGCTCGGGGAGCCATGGACACGTTTCAGGACGGCGACGAGCTCGGCGTCCGCGCGGGGGGACGGCCGGCGTGCAGCCCGGCGCGCGAGGCGGAGCGGGAGGAGGGCGAGGAGCCCGAGGCGTCGGACCCGTCCCAGAAGCCCCCCTACTCCTACGTGGCCCTCATCGCCATGGCCATCCGGGAGAGCCCGGAGAAGAAGCTGACGCTCAGCGGGATCTACCAGTTCATCATCACCAGGTTCCCCTACTACGAGAAAAACAAGAAGGGCTGGCAGAACAGCATCCGCCACAACCTCAGCCTGAACGAGTGCTTCGTCAAGGTGCCCAGGGAGGGCGGCGGGGAGAGGAAGGGCAACTTCTGGACCCTGGACCCGGCTTTCGAAGACATGTTCGATAAAGGGAACTACAGGCGCCGCAGACGGGTCAAGCGGCCGTACCGGCCTCCCTCGGTCCCTTACTTGCCGGCGAAGCCGTGTCTGAACTACCCTGACGCGTACTACCTGCACCAGAGCCCCAAGTACCTGCAGAACTCTTTCGTCAGTAGCCCCTGGCCCCTGGGGCAGCCGGGAGCGCCCGTGAACTACCAGCAGTCGCAGCCCAGCAGCGGCGGCTGCAGCCCCGTGTCCGTGAACGGGTATACCAGCCCACCCGTGACCGGCTTCCCCAGCCATCACCTCCATCAGCCCTACGGCGCTTACCACCGACACCAGAGCCTCTTGGTGTCCCACGCAGGTAGCCCGTACACGGGGATCGCCCAGCCGGTGAGCCCCGGGGGAGCTCCCGCGGGCGGCAGCGGTTATCACACGCTCTCCTGTGCCCGGCAGCCGGACGTGTCCCTCGTGCATTACTACGATTAACGAGAAAGCCCGGACGTTCTGGACGAGTGAGAGTTAATTGCGCGGTTTCTATTTTGTTTCTTCTTCAGGATGTGTTCAAATCTATTTTTGTAAATTACTTTTTTTTTCTTCGTCCATGAAATCACCCGCGAGCGACTGAACGAGAGGGGGATAATTGCGGACAGAGCTGGGGAGTCTCCGTTGTTACAAGCTCACTTGCAGAAGTATGGATCTGACTTCACATTTCGCGTTCAGCTGGCTTGGCCAGGACAGTGCCAAGCACAGCCCGAGGACTGTGCTGGATTTTGGTTCAAAGGGGGTCGCGGCTGTTCTCTGAACTCCATGCTTTAGGCCTATTGGTACATGCCCACTGAAAAAAAAAACTGAAAGAATTAAAAATATAAGTGGACTAAAACCAGACTGACAGTTTTCCAAAGGAAAACGAACGGGTCGGGTATAAAAATATTAATTTGATGCGGTAATCGCATTAAAAAGTTTCGAAGACGCCCATGGGCTATTGAGAAACATAGAGATGATCTAAAGCTTAGAGCGTTTTGCATTTTAGTTTCTTAGAACATTTCTAATATGAATCTTTAAAGTTGGTACATCCGTGTTTATTTGTTATAGACTTAAAGTGCCCTTGACGTTTGAAAACGGTTTTTGTAATTTAATGTTTACATTTTTCTGTAATTCACAGTTTAATTGTTCTGCTTGGTGTCTGTTCTTTCTGCTTTTGTTTTACTTGGAGTTGCTGTTAAGTTACATTTATTATTTCCAGTAGTTTACAAATTGAAATCCAGCACCAAGATTTAAGCAGTTTTGTGTAGGATTACTATTCAAAATGACTCCAAGACCAAGGACACAATAATACAATTTATTTCTTATTGTACCTTTCATGCTAATTCACCTCAAGGCGCTGCGGGTGTTGTGTTGGAATAGATGAATGATCTTAAAACAGGTCTTCCCACTGTGAGGTTGAAAATAAAAGTACAGAAATAAAAATACAGAGTATTGTTTAAAAGTACCGTTTAAAATCGCACAAATGAACACCTTATTGTCGTGTGTTTTTGTTTGATTGTGTATTTGCAGGAATCATAATTAAATGATTGCTTTCAACTTGGGGGAATCGTAATTAAAGAAATGATTGCTTTCAGCGCGAGGAGTAAACATTCTGTTGAGAGGTTTTGTAATCTTCGTCTTCAAAAAGCTCAGTCCGACCAACTCCGGACACCCCTCTGTAAAATAGAGATTTCAGTTAATCGAATTCTCTTTATTTTGTTTGGAACATCAATAGTAACCAGTCTACCAAACCCTTTCGTGTTTAGTTTGTGACATACATGCACGACATGACAAGCAACATTTTAAAACTTCTGAATGTTTCAGACGGGTAACCCAGCGTCACTGTATAATAAACAGGTCGTGAAGGCTTCACCTGCCTGGATTCGAAGGTGTCTTGTAGTAATTGTACTTTGCAGTACAAATGTAACAGATGTAGCTACAAATACAAGCAAAAACAATAAAATATTTGTGGCCTATTCTCACCAAATGCCCCATCATAAGTTTTACCACTATGTTTTTTTTTAGCTACTTTGATGTAATACAGTACAGATGTTCAATCAGTTTGGTTATAACCATTTTTTTAATTGCTTCAAGACCAAGGAAATCAAAACTATCTAAACCTCTATAAATACCCCATTGGTGAGGGTTCAATAAAATGAAACCCAACAGTTTAAACGTTAAATCTTTCTGTGACACGCTCCTTGCCTGACGGTGGAAAGGTTCACACGCAGGTTAGCCTCTTTCTCGCCTCCGATTCCTTAGTTTAAAGTCGTTTTCTTCAATGTTGCCAAGTTTTTCATTTTTTAAAAAAAAATGTTGAACATGAAGGCCAGTATTTCTGTTTTCTACTGATATTTCTTTTTTAAATAAAAGTTTGTTAAAGCATTTTCTTTGGCTTGTGTAATTCGTAAAACATTCAGACGCGTTTACTTCAATTTATTATAACACCTATTATATACACAATTGTTGTGTATCATGTTTATTGCTGTAAATATCGACAGACTCATTGTATATGTAAAACTTTGTGAAATAATATGTAAGCAGTAACAGTTTTCCACACTTTGGTCCAGTGCTGTGCTAAATTAAAAACGTTTATTATTTAACACGTAAAATAACTTCCCAGATCTGATGTTATCTCAAAACGTTTTAACTGGAAAAATTCGCAGAAATTAGCTGCTTTCTGTTACTGATGCAGAAACAATCGTTGCTAATGTACATTTTGAATACAAATTCAATGTCCTTTTTCGATGGCAAACATTTTTCAGTGTAGTCTTTATTAGTATGAGTCTTTTAATTGTTAAAAAGTGAGTCACAGGAAGAGCGGGAATTTAAGTTTTAACTAGAAATATGGTTTAACAGGAGCTCTGAAAGTCTAAAATGGTGTAAAAACGGGTTTTCAGAGGTAATTTTTTTAAAAATCAACACAATACGCAGCTCAAACGATGTAATAGAATTCAGACGTTTTATTAAGGTTATATACAATATATCCATAAATCTTAAAATTTTCCCGAGTTTGGAAAATACAGTCATCTTCGATAAAACAAAAACATAAAATTGCTAACTATAACGTATTTTTTAAAGGCGTTCTGTGTTAATTGTATTAACTAATGTATTTTTATTGTACCTAAAAATCCTTTATTATTATTATCTTAACGATTTATTACGATAACGACAGGAGAATAGGTAATATGTAGAATTACTGTACCTGACGTGACTTTTAGCTCCTAGTTTTCTTTAAGAATTCATTCTACAACTTTCTTAAAATATATCATATGCATGCTAGCTAAAAAGTACATTATAATATTTACATAAAACACGTGGAACTGACTGACACCAAAGTTCTCATTTTCCCAGTATCTTAATTTCTTAAATTAATATCTTAAAACACTGTGCGACTTCCATTTATACTGTTACCTTAATCAAATCGGCAAGCTTGAGAAACGAATCTAATTAATGCTTTCAGGATATTTCGTTTTTCTGCATGAAAGAAAGTGAGGGTATTTTTTTCGGAACTGTATTCCTATGATTGTGTTACTTAAGTGTCAATTTGTACAATTAATTTAGTTTCCGACCACGATTTTTTTTTTTACCAAGGTTTTTTTTTTTTCAAACAGAACATTGAATATTTTGCACATCTTATTTTAGGGGAAATAAATGGAAAAAGTCGCGTAACGATCAAGGTCAACAAACATTGAACAATACGTTTTTTTAATGGAAATCAGAGAGCGAGTAGTTGCCGTGACATTGATGCACTGCTGAAAATTGCCCAAACTGGATGGATCTTTCTAAATGTATGCTACTTGCTGTCTGCTTTAGATTTCTAGCGATTGAAACATGAACATATTATTGCAGCCGTTACAGGTTACGACGCAATTTCGAAGTCCCTATTTATCCTCTATCGACAGTTCTCCAGTCCGGTGCTGTGTAGAAGTTTACCAATATGCTACAAGTCGTCTGCAGCATTTGAACTTTACTTAACCACAGAAAACATCGACCTCCAGTGGAGAAATTCTCAACTGAAGGCAGTGACTCGGGTCAGACGCACTCTGTCGAGTATAAGGGGAGGACAGCCTCTGCTTTTATGGTCTATTTTCAACGACCGTATGATGTATACGACAGCATACCTGTTTATTTTCTATTAAAAAAAAACTGAGGTTTCAACAATGGAAAACACTTAATGCAAGAAGACCCTCAGCAGCAGATTTTCTGTTATCCTAAAATAAACGACTTTAATCACTGAAGACAGATTCCTAGCATGTGGTCTGCTATATCGTGGGTATACTGTACACCGATGCACAGAAGTCTTACATGCAACCAGTAGCTAGAATGTGTCATTTAGCAATCTTAACTTAAAAAACCCGAGCACAAATCAAGACGATGTATTGAAGCAGCTCATCCATCGGATTTTCTCTCTTCCGTCTGTTTCTTGAAAGAAGCCAGGGCGGGGTAGCTTGTTGCAGACTCCCACAACCCTTTGTGTAAAGGGGCGCCTTTAAAAAAATGAGCCGTGAAATGGGTTGACTTTGCTAAGGACATTGGGGATTTGGAATTCTTGTATGGGATCCCCCTCGTTGTTTTCTCTGTTCAAGAATAAATAGATTTACGTTCTTTTAACCTACCAGCATCAAGCATTCCTTTAAGACTCAAAATATATCTGGTCTGGAGTGATTCCAGAGCAGCAGGGTGGGTGACCATAATAGTGCACACTTTTCCTAAACGTGGTCTTATTGTTATATTACATAATTTTCACATCTCGCAGTTCACACTTTTGCATTTGAACTATATAGCCTGACGTTTTTTTGTTTGTTTGTTTGTTTTTGCTTCACCACAGTGTCTAGAAGATACTTTCTTTTTACCGTTTGTATGCATTGTATTTTATACAGGTCGTTAATAATGCACGAAAGAACCTGAATACACCCAGTTTATTTGTTGATAAAGTACAAAAACAAACGACTTTGTTTTTCTCGGGCTCCTGTTTCGCCACGGCGAAAGTTATCCGTACAACAGCGCCACCCAGTGAGCGTTCCTCGGCACGACAAGAAACCTGAGACTACAGCATCTCAGGACATTGTGAGCTGTTACAGCAGAGAGAACTTAAAAAACGCGAGTATCGGGTGCATACTTTATATTCCAGATAGGTTATTTTCCACGGTTTGTAAGCTATTTAAGTATATTTTTGGTAAAAAATATTGCTTTGCACTGATCTTGTAGGACCCAGGAAAAAAAAGGCACAGTCGTCTCAGGCTGTTGCGGTGCTTTTGATAAAACGTCAGTCGTTTAGATTTCAGACGGACTTAACTGCACTTGAACACACACATTACACTAGTCCTGTCTGGACTGGCTCTTTTTAGCCTTCCGCACGCAGCGCTGCCGATAGCCCGGAGCTCGCCGGTGTGAAGGACAGTGCCCGTTTGGACAAAGCGCCGGACCGCTCTGGAGATCTGATTCTCCTTGAAGTTCAATCGACTCGGGACCCGCAATGCGCAGCATCCTCGCTGTTCTCGAGCAGCCAGATTTCCCAGAGAAGGTATTTAAGAAATATTTTGTGCCTGGTTTCAGAAGCACAGTCCAGGCAGATGTTTTCTTTCGGATGACGGTGTCGATGGATTCCACTGGATTCTGGATCAGCTCCCTCGGCTTTTAAAGCGGGAATCTACACTGAGCGACGCGTCTGTGTTTTGTATTGTTAAGATCTCGCTAGCACTCATTTATAAAGCTTGCGTAGCGCATAGCCCGGGCGGGACAGGTTGTGGATAAAAGCAGTCGGTAGTGTAATAGAAATAGAATAGTAAATATTGAACTTTTGTGCGAGAGTTTGCGGTTCTTGTCGCGGACTGCGCGCTCTTGGTTACGTCGTTCACTACAGGGCAATTAAATGAAGGGCGTTTGTTCTGAACCAGATCATCTCACTGGAGACCTGTCTTCCTTTGGACAACCGGTTGCATGCTGACACGGTGTGCTCGGTCGTGTTAGCGGAGTTGGTCGCACGCGTTCTGCGCCTCACCGGCGCCCGGCACTTCCGCCTCTACCGGCGCCGAGTCTTTCCACCAAACTCCTTAGTTTTTGCATTTGCGACAGCACCCCGGGGGGGTGGGGAAGGGGGAGACACGATTTGGGCGTTAAACCCCTCCACCTCAGCATCCGCTCCGCCCAGGACGCAATCCGCGGCAATTCTGTGTAAACAAGAGGAGTTTTGAAACTGGATCTTGGTGTCGGTCCCCTGCAGCTCCGAGCTGGACAGTAACTGGAATGCGAGCAGAAGCAAATCGCCAAGGTAGGATGGACGCTTCTGACAGCTCGTTAATGGCCATCATCAGGTGACTGCTAGCAATTTCCCGTGCATGGGTTTAGTTGCGCAGGCATTTTAAAAACGGTCATTATCGAGCAAATACGGTTTAAGAATCCCATTGTACAGCACTTTGA